ATTATCAATGTAAGGAAATCAATTCTTTTACAAAAATAATTTGTATATACTCAATTTAATATATTTTATGAACATTCGTCTCAATCTAGTTATTAAAATATAATATAAATACAATTAATTCAATTGATTCTTATATCATATATCCATGATTACATTTTTAAATTTTTTTATTTTTAATTTTATATCAAAAATAATAACTTTTTAATAAATATATTACACAATATATTGAATTAAAGTGTATATTAATTAATGTTCTTTTCCTTAATTCTAATCCATATGTTCTCTTAAAAAAAATTAAAAATTTACTAATAAAACTGTACTTGGTCAATGAAATATATATATATATATATCACATAAAAATTAGGGACAATTAAAACCACCACACATCAAAAGCACAAAATCAACGAGAACAAAGAAAAGATAATAGAAGAATGGATTATCCTCAACTCAAGTTTCCATCACACTGCTTACAGGAGGCCATAGACTTCCTTTCAAGTTCCTTTCGCAGTTGTCAATGGATGTAAGCTCTCAAATCAATTTTCTCTAATTTCTTTTTTCTTTGAGTTTATAATTAAATTACGTTACAATGATATTTAAAGATGGATTCATACTCCACATTTCTGACATTTATTATTATAAAACCCCTTCAAAAATTCAGTCATTGCTTTAATTTGCACATTACAGGGGTTTATTTTGGTATTTTGTGCACTAATTAACTATTCAATTTAATCAAATAAATTAGGTAGTTTGAATTATAAATACTAACTAATAACTATTAAATGTTAATTATAAGCTATTAATTATATTTAAACAGTTAATTTAAACACATATATTTGAATTGATCTGCCATTGATTAAAATTAAATAATCTTAATTGCTATTCTAAAAAAAAAAAAAAATCAAATTCTCAAGAATCTGAAACAATCCAATGCCACCATAGATCTCCTTCTACGGATCTTTACATGTGTCACAAACCCACATTCACTCCTATAAAATCGCGATGAGTTACATCGTATTACCAAGTCAAACGCAGCCAAACTACTGGTAAAATAACCTCTTCCTCCAATGTTGCCAATGTCGCAGTTGGTGGACAGGGCCAAGAACTTCGTGGCGGAGAAGGTGGTCAACATAAAGAAGCCGGAAGCCACCCTCACCGATGTCAATATGAAGAACTTCAGCCGGGAAGGCGTCGAGTTAAACGCCAAGGTCTCCGTCAACAACCCATACGGCCATCCCCTTCCCGTATGTGAGGTCTCCTACGAACTCAAAAGTGCCAGCAGGTTACATTCACTTTTTTCCAGATCTGTTTTTGGGTGTATATATATAAAATTTTATGAATCGATGTAATTACATTATATGTATTGGGCGAAGTACAGGGCGATTGCGTCGGGGAATATGCCGGATCCGGGGTCGTTGAAGGCGAGTGACACGACGATGCTGGAGGTGCCGGTGAAGGTGCCGTACAGCATCCTGGTGAGCTTGGCCAGGGACATTGGAGCGGATTGGGATATAGATTATGAGTTGGAGGTGGGTCTGACGATCGATCTTCCGATCATCGGGGACCTGAAAATCCCTCTATCCACCAAGGGCGAGATCAAGCTTCCTGCTTTGTCCGATCTGTTTTAGGGACGTCACTCCCATTTTTTACAGCTGGTTAAATGCCAAATTTGGCTTAGAAACTTTCAATTTTGAACAAATTTCGTCCCTAAACTTTTTTTTATATACTTTTTTCACCATTTAACTCTAAAAAATACACTTTTTTTTTTATCTTATACCAGTTAAGTCCATTCAAATATATATATTTTTAATTCTTAAAATTTTAATATATATATATATTTAGTTCATAAATTATAAAATTATGAATTGACAAGAGGATAAAAAAATGTATTTTTTAGAGTTGAAGAACGAAAAAAAATACAAAAAAAGAATTGAGGGACAAAATTTACTCAAAATTAAAAGCTTATGAACCAAATTTGACATTTAAGCTTCACACTTATGTTGTTTAAAATTAATTTGTTCTTTTTAGTTTGGACAACGGACATGTCAACACAAATGTTGGAAACCTATATTAATTACGCTGAAGTTTAAGAACATGTTTTATAAACGTATAGTTGAATTACTTCTTTACACATGCAAATTTCAAAAGTCTCTACTTCTGTCAACATA